GGTCAACAACCTTGAGCCAATCAAGATCGAACTCCTGACAATGGGCATAGTTAGCCTGCAATAGCACTTAAGACTTATATACTGCTTCACAGTGTTTTACAGCCCTCTCTAAGTGGTTTACAGAGTCAGCCTCTTGCCCTCAACAATTTGGGTCCTCATTTTACCCACCTCGGAAGAATGGAAGGCTCAGTCAACCTTGAGCCTGGTGAGATTCAAACTGCCAAACTGCAGCTAGCAGTCAGCTGAAGTAGCCTGCAGTGCTACACTGTAACCACTGTACCACCTCTACAATATGGATGACACCCCCTCTAGGTATTACTGTTAGTTCCTCCTCACTAGTTACACAGGACAGTTAAAACACCCTGCTGACAGATGTTTCAGGACTCGGAATCCTAATTACATCTTTCTGAGCCTCGAGATATAAGCAGCACCCCCAAACTCTGGGTGGTGGAAACCGTACCTGAGCCATTGTGAATCTTGGTTATAGAATCCAGGTGGGTGAGGCTAAACAAGGAAAGAAAAGATATACCTGTGTTACTGAAACACTGAGAGCAAGCCCCCAAAATCACAGGCATGTTTTTGGCCCAATTACAAGAGACTCCTATTGGGGTGTGTGAGAGAGAGACAGAGAGGGGGAGAGGGAGGGACCATGTGTAGAATATCCATCCTGCCCAGGTGATTAAAGAAGGAAACAGAAAGCTGTCCCAAAGGTGCTTTTTCAAGAGGCAACTGGACTTCAAGAATATTTTTTCCTTGAAGATGTTTCGCTTCTTATCCAAGAAGCTTTTTCAGTTCTGAAGAAGAGAACTAAAGAAGCTTCTCGGATGAAAAGCAAAACATCTTCAAGGGAAAAAAAATCAAGACAAGTCCAGTTGCCTCTTGAAAAAAAGCACCTTTGGGATCACCACGGCCTGGGTGGTTGAGGATCTCCATAGACAAAAAGGAAGCTGGATTTCATCTCACCTGTGGATTTTCCTATAGGCATCCTGCTCCTCCTGACACAGGATTTTTGGCAGTTCCACAGCCGATTCGAGGCAAACTTTCCCTATGGTATTGTGTGGGACAACGTGGATGGGGATTTCAATCCTTTCATACCTATAGGGGAAAGCATCATAAACACACAATTTAGGGGGTGATGGTGGTGGAAATCACATTTTCTAAAAAAAAAACATTTGGGAAACTGTTTTTTCATATTTGCTGGTCCTGGAAGGAGCTTGGTAGAGGAGACTCAGGTGAAAGAGGGACCCTACTTTTGCATGAGCCAGGGTGGTGCAGTGGTTAGAGTACAGTACAGTACCGGCTGCCAGCAGTTTGGCAGTTCGAATCTGCCTGTACTTGAGAGACCGCCTCCTGCCAATCACCTCCCTGNGTCTGGCCTTCAGGTGCTTTGAAGAATAGCTAGACCCCTTCCTCTCTGTGGCAGCCCCTCAGATATTGGACGACTGCTATTCTGTCTCCCCTGGCCCTTCTCTTTACAGCCATACCCAGTTCCTGCAAACATTCATCGTAGGTTTTAGCCTCCAGTCCTCTAATCCTGTTGGCTGGTTTTTGTCTACAATGTTTGCTCAAGGTTGTGCCATTTTGTTAAGCAAGTATCCGCTGAAGCTTTCGCTGAGTTTTGCAAGCAGGTGAAACCCACCTGGCTGCATCTTCCAAGTTCACAGCCATGAAAAATACCCTCAGCTGCCACTTCCCCTCCTCCCCCCCTTCCCTGGCAATTGCATCAGGAAAAAACAACAATGAAAAGGGGACACCAATCCCCTGGAGATGAGGACCATCACAAAGTCGTAATTTTCAGGGCAGGAAACCTTCATCTGGCAGGCAGGCCTAAAGTTGCTGCACTGATCTTGGTAAGTTAAAACAGAGATCAAGGCAAGAGGGAAATCCAACCCGGCTTGACTTGCTTTCTCTGGGATAACGGCTGGTCGGGGCTCACGTACAACACAGCTGCTTCGGTAGGGAAGAATGCGGTGAGAATTTACAGCTGCAGCAGCTCTTTGGAGATGCTCCAAGTGGCCTTCAGTTCTCCAAGGCCTGGCTCTGATCCTGGTCAAGAGGGGAACCGGAGGGGAGAAGAAAGCAGTTGCTTAAACCAGTGGCGAGGGGACTTCAAGGAGAGACTCTGAAAAAGGCCATGCACAGAAGACACACACCCATATGGTATGAGCATGATGGTAAACCTATGGCACACATGCCACCTTTGCCACGCGGAGCCATATCTGAGGGAATGTGAGGCATTGCCCAATGTCAGCTTCAGCATGTGCCATCTGATTTTCTGCCCTCCAGAGAGCAGGGGAGGACGGTTTTGCCCTCCCCGGGCTTCAGATTTCCCTGAAGCCTGGGGAGGGTGAAAAACAGCCCAACGGATCTACCTACCGGAACTCCAGATTTTAGTGAGGCCTGCACGCATGCGCGGAAGGGGGGGAGCGCAGGGGGTTGTGTGTGCATGGGCCAGGGGGAGGGCATTGCATTACGGGTGTGGGCACGCGAGCAGAAAAACGTTCGCCATCACTGTGATATGAGATAGTCCCATCATGTCCAGCAGTTGCGAGTGGGAACTAGCAAAAATCAGGAAAAATTATTCTTTATGCAATGTTTTTAGGTGCCTGCAACTAACAGAACAAGCAGATTTTGTCCTGTGCAGATTTGTGACTTTTTCCTTCCAGTCTGAAAATTGGAAAGTCCCCCCCGCCCCCACCTCAAAATCAAAATTCATTCACCTCGGCCCTTTGAGGTCTTCAATTATAGAAAGCCCTGGAAGAGAAATCTTCTAGGATGAGCTTGTCCAGCTGAGATTTTCAAAGTTTTACTAATTAAATTGGGTTATAAAGCCACAGTTAGGTTCGCTGACTCTTATGCATTATTTGCGGTATTTTTTTTTTCTCTTTCTCCTTTTATATGGAATGGAGCTGCCAGGGGACAACATTCGGAAGGGATCCAATCATTTGACTTTATTCCATTCGAAGAGAGGGGGAAAAAACATGCAAAATCCTTCTTCTGCAGTCAAGAAACGTGACAGGAAGCAGAATGAGGCATAAGAAATAGCGCGCTATCTCTCAAGACCCACCAGAACGGTGCATTCCCGAGATAAATTAAGAATCAGTTGCTACTCAATGCAGTAAGGACAATGGTTGCTGTGCTTATGTTATCTGACCTTGACAACTTCAAGATCCGTTATGTTAAAAGAAAAGAAAAATGAAGTCCATCATGTAAAAAAAAGTTATTTTCCTCTTCTGCAGTTATCTGCTGTTCCGTTCCATGGAATCCTCGCCGCCTTGAAATGCCATTTGGCAGAGGTGGCCTTGGCGTTCTCTAGCGGTCACGGCTGCCAGGTGGAAGAGGGGGCAGGAGGAAACAGCAGCCAAGGCAGGATGGGGCCGAGCCCAGGAGCTCGGGAGCCTTGGCCTCCGTCACTCCAAGGCAGCCAGTTCCTCCAAGAGCTCTTCTTTCTCCCTCTGCAGTTCGTGCATTCGCTGCTTGTTCTGCTCCAAACGGTCCTCCAGCCACTGCAGCAGAGGCCCGCTGATGGCAGACATCTGGCTGCAGAGGTTCTTCGTGAAGACTGGCAAGGAAAGAAGGGGGGCAGCTGTGAGCGTGCAGGAGATACCTCAAGAAAATGGCGCAGGAAGAGCCCAGCAACTTTCAGCCCCGTACAATAGCACTTAAGGCTTATGGACAGAGTCATAGTCCTTTTTACAGCCCTCTCTAAGTGGTTTTACAGCGTCGGCCCTATTGCCCCCAACAATCTGGGTCCTCATTTTACCCACCTCGGTAGGATGGAAGGCTGAGTCAACCTTGAACTGGTCAGGATCGAACTGCTGGCAGTGGGCAGAGTTAACTATAGCAATAGCCCTTATATACCACTTGCATTGAAGCCCTCTCTAAGCGGTGTAGAGAGTTAGCCTATTGCCCCCAAACAATCTGGATCCTCATTTTACCCACCTCAGAAGGATGGGTCAATCTTGAGCCAATTAGGATCGAACTCCTGANTGCCTAGGATGAGATGGATCTTTGAGAATGTTTTGAACTTTAAGGCACAAGGAGCTATAAAGCTTTTCCTAAGAGGGGAGAGGGCAACCAATGATCCTCTGGGCAATGATGTTAGCCTATCTTCAAAATGTTGGAAAATACTGATTCTTTTTCCTGTATGTGACTTAAAGCAGTATATTCTTCTTTTTTTTTCAAATAGGTGAAAATATATTATTATTTTGCTATATGCCAGAATCAGTGCTGGATCAATGCACACATATTAGAAGAGTTACACACAGTTTAGTTTCAAAGACCTATTTCTGTACTTCAATCTTCTCAGATCAGATTGGATAGAACCATAGCTTAGCAGAAAATCAATGATTCAGTTCCAACTGCCAGAAAATTTTCTGCCAGCCAAGAACAGCTTATCTGATTAGAATTAATTAGAATTAATTATCAAGTTCACTAATGATCAAAGCACAGCCTAAGTGACTCCCTTCAAATCTTATCCAAGTCAGCAAATGCTCTCATTAGAACATTTTACCCATTCAAATAGTCTTGGGAAAGAGGTGGATAGAAAATAATTTAAAGCATCTGATCTTATCCTTCCTACCGTACTCAGTTTGGTACTCTTACTCTTACTTACCTACATGTGATGGCCACACTGTTATGTGAGGATGAGAGTGATACCAGCCTACAACTCTCATGGGGCGTCCTGTTAGTTCAGCCAATCTGTGTGTTAGTTAAGGGTGTTCAAAAAAATAATAATCCAAACCCCTTCCAGAAAAAGTATACTTTTTACATTGTGCAACAACAGCACTAAATTACATTTAATTTATTTGCAGCCCCGTCAAAACAGTAATTTAATAAATCCCTGGAATAAAGCTTTTCTCACATTTAAACAAGCAAGGAAGGTCATTAGGAAGAAATACCGACAATGATCAAAGTAAACACACTTCAGTGCAAGCTTCTCTTGCAGTATAGAAAAAGAAATTAGCAGAAACTGGAAGTCTCTTTTCTAGGTTGCAAATATCTATCTGCTTTCAAACTAACATTAATCCATAAACTCGATAAAAAGATATCTCTGCTTCTGTTGAAGCAGCCGAGAGCTGCTCGGGAGAAATTTCCACACGGTCTTTTCTTTTATCTGACCTGCGCAGAATGATCACTGAGTGAATGTGAACAATTCGGCTTGTATCAACCTGGAGATAACAAAGACGAAGGGGGGAAAAAATCATCGATAGGAAATACAACACAAGATACATTTCATTATTGCTATCTGCATGATATAGTTAAGCCTCTGCATCAGGTCACCATGTGTAAAGAGATCCCTTCAAGCTATCATTTTATCCATCTCCATCTGACCTCTCTGTGACACTTTATGTATTGCACAAGCTTGGAGCAGTTACTCTGGTTCAGGTTGTGGGTATCAGAATATGAAAGCAATCTTGTTTGATGTTCAGTTCCAGCTTGTGGAAAGATGAGTTGTGTAAAGGCACTTTGCACCGCATTATAGTCATTCAGTCACTGCAAATATGTGTATGGCCGCACTTCCTTCCTTCCTACCAATTCCCACTCTCCAGCATAATTCCCATTGTAAGTTATTGCAATGCATATAATTGCCCTGGCAACATGTAGAGACTATTGTCCTAGGCCCAACTCTTCTTTTGTCACAAAACCAGTTGTGCAGAAAGACAGTCTAAGCTTTCTTAGCCTAGCATTACAATTCAGCCTTCTCTAAGCAATATAGCCAGAAAGGGATGCTGCGGTGCCCAGCCTTGGGAAAAGGGAAGTAAAGGTTGTTGTGGGGAATAAAGGAGACATACATGCATGCATGCAAGCATATATGTGCATGCATGTCAGTACATATGATTTTGTGTGTATATGATAGATGTATGTATATTCAATACAATAGGGACGCAGTGGATCAGTGGCTAAGACCCTGAGCTTTTTGATCAGAAGGGTCGGGAGTTCGAATCCCTAGCGCCGAGTAACAAAGTGTGCTTCCGTTACTTGTCCCAGCTTCTGCCAACCTAGCAGTAAAAATGCAAGTAGAAAAATAGGAACCACCTTTGGTGGGAAGGTAACAGTGCTCCATGTGCCTTCGGCGTTTAGTCATGCTGGCCACATGACCACGGAGACGTCTTCAGNGTTTGTGTGTTCTCCAACACAACTCTCACAATGCTTCGCTGAACGTACTCGCTCTCCCAACAGGGAGCTTACCTAACAATACTCTACTAGAAAGACATTATATTCATGGACTTAATTTTCATCAGCATTGACCAATTTCATCCACGGGTACAGTTAAACTCAGAGACATTAATTTCAACCTTCGACTAAGGACTCAAGAGAATCATCTGAGGAAACGTTATCTTCCCTCAAGGAATTGTTATCGTATCTTCCATTGTTTTAGCAATCATTTTTGAAACCCATTGGTAAGTTACACAATCAATTTTGTGTTTTTTTTCCTAGGAAGCCTGGATATCTGGACGGATGCTTTGAGGGAAGGAAAGCCAGAATGTTGAACAGATTGTTGCAAAGTTACCATCCTGTTTAGCTAAGCTCATGCACTTTTCAAACTTTACGATGCTGTACTGGGTCACTGACACACCCAATTTGCATATCAGGGCTGCAACATCATACATGGAAAGAAAGAAAAATGCAGGGAATCTACTTTTTAAGCACAATTTTAAAACCAATGCTCTTGCAAATCATACTGAAATTAAAACCACAGGAGTGGGACTAGATTTTAACAGCTTCTGGCTACACTGACTAGAAACAGAGCAAAACACTTATTCCAGAATGAGGTCAGATAGCAAGATACCTGTCCTATCGGAGGACCAAGTACCATTTATCCATGTTCTATTTACCTTTGTGTTTTTATCTTCAATGAAACAAGAGAAGATAAGCCCCACAAAGCCTTGGTCCATCATCTGATACATTGCTTGGGTGCGCACATCTGTAGAAAATCATCAACAAAAAAGGTGTGAGATTTCAAACATCTCTCCTGTACAGAAATGGCAGTCATGGGACTATTGGCACCAGATTATCACGTCAAAGAAATGTTCCTTTTTTCCAGAAACAGCCGAAAGCTTCAGGAAAGAAACTAAGCCAAAATCAAGGTGAGCATAAAAGCTAATGAAAACAAGGAAAGTCCAGTCACAGAATCCTGGAAATCAGCTACTTGTCTAGTTGCAATCTTAGTTAATTAGTTTACTTTACTATCATCTAAACTAAATGCCATCTTCAGTGTACATTATAGCTATAAAAATAAAACACACAACACCTCCTTCACATTCTATACAATTGAATTGAAAACCCCTGATATTGCATTAATATTGCACTATACAGTAGAATTCAATATGGTTACTGCCCTGCGATAGAAACTGTTTTTCAGCCTATTTGTCCTTGTTTTTTTATTATAGCTATAATGTCTGCCAGATGGTAATAGTTAAAAAAAAAGGCTGCCTAGGATGAGATGGATCTTT